CATATACTTCAGGAAGCTTATGGTGAACATGCTCCATCACAAGATACTTGTGAACGCTGATTTAAGTGCTTTAAAAGTGATGATTTCTATGTGAAAAACAAAGAACGTCCAGGTCAACCAAAAAAGTTTAAAGACCAATAACTACAAGCATTATTGGATGAAGATGCTTGTCAAACTCAAAAACAACTTGCACAAAGATTAAACACTGCTCAGCAAACTATTTCCTTTCATTTACAAGTAATGGGAAAGATTTTAAAGGAAGGAAAATGGATGCCACATCAACTGAATGAAAGACAAATGAAAAACCAAAAAGTCATCAGTAAAATGTTGCTTAAGTCTTTTTTGCATCGAGTTGTGACTGGAGATGAAAAGTGGACTTATTTTGAGAATCCCAAATGCACGAAATCATGGTTTGGTCCAGGTCAACCATCAACATCAACTTTAAGGCCAAATCACTTCGGAAAAAAGACAATGCTCTGCATTTGGTGGGATCAGGAAGGTGTGGTGTATTATGAGCTTCTAAAACCAGGTGAAACCATTAATACTGATCGCTACTGACAACAAATAATCAGTTTGAATCATGCTTTCATTGTGAACTCACCAGAATGTGCCAGAAGACACCGAAAAGTGATTTTGCTTCATGATAATGCACCATCACACACTTTAAAACCAGATACACCAATCAGAAAGGATATATGCACCCCTATGTTCATAGCAGCACAATTTACCATAGATTTGGAAACAGCCTAAGTGCCCATCAGCAAATGAGTGGATTAAAAAACTGTGGTACATCTGTATAATGGAATACTACATTGTGGTAAAAATGAAGGAATTTTTACCATTTGCAATAGCATGGATGGAACTGGAGAGCTTTATGCTACGCTAAATAAGCCAGTTAGAGAAAGATAAATATCACATGATATCACTCGTTTGTGGAAAATAATGAACATAAACTGATGAACAAAAACAGATCCAGAGACAGAGAAGCATCAATCAGAACATGAAACTTCAGAGTGGAGAGATCAACCAAAGGACTTTTATCCATGCATATAAGCCTAACCAATGGACAGACACCAGGGGGTGAAAGCATGAATTGTGGGGTTGAGGCTGGGGTTAATGGGGGGAACAGGACACCTATGTAATGTTAATTGATAAAGAAAAAAAAGCCAAAACCGGTTTGGCTCAATGGATAGAGCATCGGCCTGCGGACCGAAAGGTCCCGGGTTCGATTCCAGTCAAGGGCACATACCTTGGTTGCGGGCACATCCCCAGTGGGGGGTATGCAAGAGGCAGCTGATTGATGACTCTCTCACATCCATGTTTCTAACTCTCTATCCCTCTCTCTTCCTCTCTGTAATAAATTAATAAAATTTATTTTTTTTTTAAATTGATCCAGCACTTTAAAATGGTGAGATTTCCCCCTGGAAATTCAGCTTTTTGGCTTCTCCAAGAGACTGGGAAGATCTGACAGCATTGGAGGCACTGCAGTGGCTAGCGAGTGGGTAGCAACCGTCTGATTTGGGCGGCCACCTGTGCTCTCCACATGTGGGCCATCTCACCACTCACACTAGGGTGACACATACCATATTGTCCAAACTAGGGCACTTTTGAGAGTAAAAGGGGGTGCTTTAGTAATGATGTCTACACCACAGACATAAGCCGGGATTGTCGTGGACAGTGGACTGTAAGGATGTATGGTGATCTGAACTCATAGCTCACACTGGGCTTGCTCCTCTTCTGTGCCCACTGTTGTTTGGATTATGTGGTCATAAGTCAGGATCTCTTATGAGGAATAAGGGAGATAAAAGATGTAAAATGAGAGACCTAAAAGGTGTTTTGTGTGTGTGTGTTTTAAGGAAAGAAATGGAAAATAATTTTTAAATGAATGCCAATTACATCAAACCTTCAGGTAAAGGCAGAGCCATGCTGGTGGCTGGCTCAGCATGTGTGTTTGACCTTCCTGGCTGCCTGCCCTACACAGCATTGTCAGTTTTAATAAGCTGCAATCCTGTAGCTACGAGCGAGACTAATCAAACTGCAGAGAGCAGCCTGTTCCTAATCAGGAAGGCACAGGGTAATCATTTAACTCTGTGGTTCTCAGTGAGCTCCAAGCTGCCTCAACAGAAAAAAAAAAAAGAAAAAAAAAACACATCCTGGGTAAGATAGTTGCTCACACACTTTTATCTTGGCCTTCGGATGGTCTTTGTTTGCAGTTTTTATTAAAATCTTTAATTATACTAATATTTGATTTTTTAATGTTTTAGAACAATCTTTTCCCTTTACTTCCAGAGAATAAAATATTCCTCCTCCAAGGCATATAGGAAACCTCAGACTCTATTGATCATCCAGGAGTCCACTGGAACCTATCAGAGACCCAAACCTTTTCAACACCGTTCAGGGTGGGAGTAGTCCCCAAACTGGGGGGTGAGAGGGATTTGGGGACATGGAATGGCAGCTCATGTTGGGCACTTAGACCTAGAAGTGAGAGCGTGGTACTGTAGCTACACATGGCAGTGCCAGCTATTCCGTTACAGGAGGAGCGAGGGCCGAGCGCCAGCGAAGCTCCAGAAGCACCTGTACCCCAAGACAGCGGCCCCTCTATTCAGTCCTTGCTTCTCTTAATCCTTTCACCCAGGAGCAAGTCACAAGCAAGCAGCTATTTAGTGCAATGGGAACTGTGGAGTTTTAGTCAGATGGAGCCAAAGTCTAACTTGGGAGCTCCCTTAGGCAAACTACTCAACCTTCCAGAAGTTCCTGGTAGGCCCTCAGGCAGGACACTCACCCTTCCTGAAACTCAGAAACAGGAATAAAAATATCAACACCTCACAGCCTTGCTCTACAGGTCAATGAGATATGTATGGAAAGCATGCACTGAGGTGCCTGGCACATTAAAAATGCTCCGAAGACTGTAGTTATTATTTTCACCATGTGCTAAGCATGTCCTTAAAGTCCCCTAATTATGTAATTTAAAGAGACAGGCGCATCCCTGACTCCCTGGATTCTGCATTTAGTGTAAGCGCACTTAAAACAATGACTACAGATGGAATAAATGTAGAAAAATCTTTTTTATTGGAAACTATTTCTGGTACCATGGGAATTTAATGTTTTGTTTTGTAACTAGTAGATTCACTACTAGTTACAGGAAATAAGATAGTATATTTTTTGCTAAAAATGTTTATTGTCCATTAACTTTAATAGGTTTACATTAAAGAAACATATTTTTTCAAATATTTTAATAAGAAAAAGACCCAGAAAAAAAAAAAGGATAATATTGGGCAGAAATTTCAGTGTTTTAAACATAAAACTTATACATTTTATACAAATTCTGGGATATTTATTAATAGTCCTCCAACAATGGATTTGGCATTGAACAGGAATATGAACACGTGAACAAGTCCCATCCAATATATTGCAAAACAATCAGATCCTTTAGCACAGAGATTCTTTCATAAATACCTGTACCATTCATGGAGAGAGGTCATAGAAATGCCCATAAATTACAAAACAGAATTATTCCCATCTAATAAAGGTAAAACATATAGATGGGCATCCAATACCTAAAAATGTAGTAACCACATAATTTTTTAAATGCTTAGTAACACCCACTAAAATGAACAAACAGCAAAAATACAGCACAATAATATAAAACAAATGTATTTCACACTACTATAAACAAAACAAAGGCCTCTTTTTGGTTCTGTTGTTGTTTTGACAAAAACTATGCGTACAAATAAATGTCTGTGTGTATATATATTATTTTAAAAAAATTTTTAATTAATTTTTAGGGAGAAGGAGAATGAAAGAGGAAGAGAGACGTCGATGTGAGAGCAAAACATTGATCAGATGCTTTCGTGCATACACCACACCGGGGACTGAGCCCACAACCCAGGCATATACCCCGATTGGGAATCAGACCAGCAACTTTTCGGTGCATGGGATAATGCCCAACCAACTGTGCCACACCAGACAGGGCTGTATACGTATGTTCTTATAGAAAACTTCATAAATATAGAAAAGCACACAAAAAAATACAAATCACTTGTCACAACCATCAACACAAATGTCACTCCTTTGGGAAGAGCAAAAAAACCTTACAGATTTAGAGATGATCCAGGAAGGTCTTTCCAGCCTCAGAATCTGCCAATGCCAATTCACCAACCACTTCAACATCCACAGGCCAAGCCTCTTTATAGACTCTGAAATGTCTTTACTATTGCCTAACTCCTGGCACTGCTGCATTTTCATCAGGCCAATGGTGATCAATAAACAAGAACTATAAGTAAGGCTATGACTCTGATCTAAAACTCTTGTTTCCGCCAAAACCGGTTTGGCTCAGTGGATAGAGCGTCGGCCTGTGGAGTCAAGGGACCCGGGTTCAATTCCAGACAAGGGCATGTACTCTGATTGCGGGCACATCCCCAGTAGGGGGTGTGCAAGAGGCGGCTGGTTGATGTTTCTCTCTCGTTGATGTGAGCCCCACATTCCACGGAGATGTGCGCCTGGTTAAATCGAAAGAGCCACTACTGGCTGACTACACTGCTGGAGCAGCTCGGAAGGCAGAAGTACCCAAAAGAGGCTCCTGAGCACATGGAATTAAAGAAAACGCCTGGATGAAGGAGATTCCTTCTCTAGTCAATAGGATGAGTCCACAAGGCCGTGCTACTCATGACCAACCATCTCCCTTTAAGCTCCAATCCACTCAGTGTACCCTCAGAACCTCATCGCTGCCACTTCAAAGCTGTCTCTTCACATCTGAAGCTTTTGACTAAACAAACCTCTATTGACTAAAAGAGTTAGCACAGAAATTTCAATTTCGATATTTTCGATATTTTTGTTCGATTCTTTCTGATCAATCCAGGTCACTTAAGTTTTTAGAAAAAAGCTCTTTAGCCTCCTGTGGGCAGCGTTTGGTACAGACGGACCATATTCTCAAATATAAATGATGAAAGCTAAGAGCGTGTCTTGTTCTCCGCTTCCCACGTGACACTGGCGGTACTAGCTCAACGTGAAGTCAGACCTGTGTGCCAGGCTCCAGATGCTTGCCTGCGGATGAGCTCCTTCAGCTGGGGCAGCCTGTCACTCTTCAGCGCTTCCCGGACAGAGTGGAAAAATCCAAAGTAGTGTTCAAAGTTGTGTATCATAAGCAGGACCCCGGCCAGCAGTTCATTGGTCACCAGCAGGTGGTGAATGTAAGCACGAGTGTGGTTCTTACAGCAGTAACAGGAGCACCCTCTCACCAATGGGTCAAAGTCCTCCTGGTACCTGAGAAAGGAAGTTAGAATGACATTCCAGAAAGTGAGGAATATAAGAACTCCACAACCTAGGCTACCTATTCTGCTGGTGCAGAACTAATATGGTTGATAACATCACTGCCACATATACTGCTGGGCGCCTGCGTAAGAGGGCAATGTGGCCCAAGTCAACAGAACACAATGAGCCAGGGACTCAGCAGTCCTCAGCTGGCTGTAACCTCCTAGCCGAGGCTGACAAGGGAGCAGCAAAGAGAGCCCTGTGGTCGCTCCCTCAGGCTGAGCACTGTCAGTCACACTGTAATATTAGGAATGCTGTTCTGATGAATGCACTTTCTCCTTTGACCACCAGAACTAGTATCAGAAGACACGGTGCGACCTTTTACTTGCGTAGCGTTTTGCAGTTTACAAACCACTTTTACATATACTATCTCTTTAATCTCATCAACCACCCTTGGAGACAGGCACTTCTGTTGTCATTTTACTGATGAAGGCCCCTGAGGGGGTTATGAGGAAGGGCTCTGACGCTACAATGCCTGAGTTTGATTCCTGGATCAGAGCTTACGTGGGCAAGTCACTTAGCCTCCCTCTGTTTTTGTTTCCTCATCTGTAATGGTAACAGTGCCTACCTTACAGAGTTGTTCCAGAGATTAATGAGCTGATATAGGAAAAGGCTTGGACACTGCTGAGCACACACTAAGCACTGTGTTATCTTTTATCAGCTATTAAAACGAAGTCAAATGACCTGGCCAGTGTCACACACGCATGAGCAGTGCTAGGATCCCAACTCCCAAGATTCCTTAACTTCAAATCTAATGCTGACAATAAGAAAACTCCCATTGCCAGCTAAATCTATAACATACAGAGAATTTTAGTAGTAACCATTCATATTACCATAACATTTAAAAAGTAGAAGTGAAACTCCTTGGCCATTTTTTAAGATGTTAAATGTGGTAAACATCATTATTTCACACCTACAATCAAGAAACCCCTAGAGAATAGATTAAAAATACGATTTTCATATTCTTTCATAAATTTCCAAATCTGTACTATTACTAGACAGGCATTACCAAGTCTGAGTCCCTAGAATGTCTCTTCACATAAGATCAAAAACACCAAGCACTAAAGTAGACCATACTCACAGATAAACCACTCACTGGTTCACTGATTGTTACCACTTTCAATGAAATACAAAGTTGCAAGATATTCTAATTCATTCCTTATAGAGGCAAATGTTTTCTTTAGGATTTATAATCTGTATATAATAACCAAGATGACTTAAGTGCCTTAAAAATTTTTTTTAAATGTTGTCTTTTATAATATCTTAAAATCCTTATTTTGTTCTGTCATTATTTAAAGTAATTGGAAGGCCGAAACCGGTTTGGCTCAGTAGATGGAGTATCGGCCTGTGGACTGAAAGGTTCAGGGTTCGATTCCAGTTAAGGGCATGTACCTTGGTTGTGGGCACATCCCCAGTAGGGGTTGTGCAAAAGGCAGCTGATCGATGTTTCTCTCTCATCGATGTTTCTAGGTCTCTATCCCTCTCCTTTCTTCTCTCTACAGATATTTTTAAAAATCAATAAAAAAATATATTAAAAATAAATAATAGGAAAAACAAAGTAAATGGAAGGAGTAAAAAATAGCAAATAATGGGTTTGGTCTAACCTTTATAAAAGCTCTCCTAAAACAATAGTTATCTAGCCTCAGTTTTCTGTTAAGACAAAACACACCAATTCATTTGCAGAAAAAGGAATTTCTGAAACTGAATTTGAGAAGGCCTAAATAATACCCAACTATAAATATTTTATAAAAATATAAACTGAAAAGGGAACAGTAATGTAAACTTTTAAAACAGACTGAAATTTAAGCCAGAAATCATAATCTAAACTGAAAAAAAAAAAGTCCTTACTTTTTTTCCTTCAGATTAATTTCAAATGATGTCACTTCTTGGTTGTCACTGGCTGTTTTCATTTCCTTTGACTGATGCACATATTGTTTTTCTTCCTGAGTCCCATTTTGTTGTAATACTGAAGGAGAAATCAACAAAAAATCTTGAATGAAAGTCAGATACAGAGTGGCCTTTGGGAGTATCTTATTTTAGTTGCTATTTCATGCCCTTAGACCCTGTTATTCTACTCCCGAATCATATCTTAAGGAAATGCCATGAGAAGAATAGCAATATGGCCCCCGCCGGTCTGGCTCAGTGGGCAGTGTCAGCCTGCGGACTGAAGGGTCCTGGGTTCGCTTCCAGCTGCAGGCTTGATCCCTGGCCCTGGCTGTTGTGCAAGCAGGAGGCAACCAATCAATTCCCTCTCATCACTGATGGCTCTTTTTCTCTCTCCTTCCCTCTCCTTTCCTCTCTGAAAGCAATAAAAATATATTGAAAAAGAAAAATAGCAATATATACAAGATGATCACAGACCCATTATCTCTAAGTCTATAATATAAAAACTGGAAGATTCAACAATGCCTAAACAAATTATGGTTACAAGTACATAATATATTTTTACTGTCAAGAAATTATTTTTAAGCCGAGACCGGTTTGGCTCAATGGATAAAGCGTCGGCTTGGGGACTGAAGGGACCCAACCCAGGTTCGATTCCGGTCAAGGGCATGTACGTTGGTTGCGAGCATATCCCCAGTAGGGGGTGTGCAAGAGGCAGCTGATCAATGACTCTCTCTCATCAATGTTTCTAACTCTCTATCTCTCTTCCTTCCTCTCTGTACAAAAATAAATAAAATATATTAAAAAAAATTATTTTTTTAAACTAGTTACTGTGTTTATGTGAATAAATGTGTTGAAGTTATATCGTATTTTAATGCACATGCAAACTAATTGGGCTTTATAACTGCTATGTTCCAAACAGATTGAAAGGAGACCATGGTTTAAATTTGTGTACTCTGAATGGAGACTCCAGTCCTTCAGGGCACTCAGCTTATCCAGAATTAAATGGGGACTTGAATTGTTCCCCTGAACTCTTTGCTTTAAGAAAAAAACACCCCTGGAATAACAAGAGGAGCACCAGTTTCCAAGCACAGAGCCAGATGCCTTAAACAGGAGCAAATAGATGAGTATTTCTGGGAACAAGTAATAACAATCTCAGGGTTGGCCCAAGGAGAATGGGCAGATGGTCCCAGGAAGGTAATTTGGTCCAATTTAAAGGAAAAGGAAAAGGAAAAGCATTGAGCATAGGGCTGTATTTTGCTGCCACGAATCTGCGTGGTGACACGGGAACCCACAAAAGCCTGGCTTTTGGGAAATCCTTCTCACTGAGGGAATTGCCTTCTACATTAGACAACTTATCCCTTTGTAATTTTCACTTTGTAATTGGCAAAGGACTATAATTTACTACACACACACAAGTGTGATGAATAATGCTTTAATAAGAATGTTCAAATGGTTTCAATTTCCCTAATCACAAATAAAAATCTTTCTCTGGCCAAAGAGGAATAATATCATGTTCTATTTCAATTTTGCATATACGTGGTAAAAAATGACTAATAACTACCTGTTGGAAATAATTAAGCTTGTAAATAAAGTCATGAACACTTATAAAGTGTTTATGGTACACTTATCCACATACATTATATTCTGGTCTGTCTAAAAGACAGTAAAATTGACTTCGTATGTGTGTATGTGTGTGTCTGTACACACACACACACACACACACACACACACACACACACACACACATATGTACATATGAATTTGACCAACCTGATTTATTTCGTTTTCAGAGTAATTCCAATTAGATTAATGCTTAAGTGCTTTATAGAAGTGTAACATCTTCTGAATAAAATTTTGATAACTATGGGGAGTAAAATGAACCTTTTAAATAAAGTCTCTATCCCTAGTCAAACTTAAGGTTGGCGGTGACAAAGGAAGAGTTCAAAGGACAGCAGGACAGCAAAGGACTGCATACCTCGGGAGGCCCAAGGGAACACTGGGCATGCAATATTCTCCAGAAAAATCGGGCAGGTGCTTCAAGGGCGCCCAGCCCAAAGTCAGCGTCCCAATTCCTTTACTACTGCCAGTCAAATGACAGAATCAGAACCTGATATTCTTGATTTCTGAATAACTAAACAATAAAATAAAATGGCAGAGTTTCAAAACAATAATCGCAGAGGAAAACAGCTTCTCACATCTCAGTGTGCACACAAAGGCAAAAAAGCAAAAGAAACGCTAGGATCAGGTGGTGAGACTCTCTGTATTTTAATAGCAAAGGATTTGCAAAAAGCAGACAAGAACTCCTTTGTGAAAAACAAATTAACTTTTACCAAGCAGTTCAAAGGTTTTCTTTTCTTAGATTTTCATCGCTATTCACTCTGAATGGTCTTTTAATAGAAGAGGCTGTTAATAGAAGAGGTTTTGTGCGTGTGTATGTGTTTTGTTGTGTTTTCTTGTTGTTGTTGTTGTTTTGCTTCTGCTAACTCCAAAATTACTTCCTAATATTGATGAGCTACGTGTATAGTATTAAGTACCTGGGTTGTGTGGACCAACATGCCAGAGCACACAGATAAGAAACAAAGATGGAGTTTTACAAAAGGTTGGCTTTATAATATGCACATATTTCTGTTTGGAATCACAAGCCAAAACTGATAAGAAACAGAAGAAACTTAAGGATAACATTTAGATTAATTTCAAAAGACCTACATGTCTGCTCAGGATTCGGGTGGTAATCAAAGCTGAAAGTCAGGGCACCTCCCCGCTCTGTCACTTGATAAGGGAAAAAACTCTCAAATAAGTCCACTCCTCTTTCAATACACTCGAGCACCTCATCTGGCTGGCTAACACCACAGATGAGCCTGTGAAAATAAGAACACTGACATGAGGACAATGCCAGAACTCAATGCGGACATTAAAATAATAATGAAAACTATCAGTCATAGTTAGCATGGCAGGCAACAAATAATAAGATATGGTGGAGAGAACCTTTAGTTGAGAGGCAGAGAGCTGGGTTAGGATCCCAGCTCTGCTATTAATTTACTTGCTGTGTTCTTTGGGAAAGCTTCTTAACCTCTCTGAGTTTTTGTTTTCTCATTTTAAAAATAAGAGCATTAATACATACCTCACAGAATTGTTGGGAGAACTAATGAAATATTTGAAAAAGCACATAATGTAGTTTCTTCCCCAAAGAGAGACTCAATAAAGGTTAGTTTTCTTTCTCCTCTTATCTGTTCTAAACAACCTCCCTAGTCTTAGACTGAACTTTATAGCCTACTTATCCTCATGGAATTTTTTTTTTAAGAGTGCAAAGCTGTATGCTTTCGTTCCCCCTCAAATACTTCTATATTTTAACTGTATGTTGCCTATAATTCATTTTTATAATTGGTTCCAGAAAGACATTTTTATCTACTGTATTCTTCACAGATTCATTTACAAAGCAACTCTTGCTCTCAGAATTTCAACTATGCACATAGAATCTAGGAATCTAACTGGCTTTATTTATGCTTCTTTATATTTTCACCATGAATAAAACGTCTGCCTGGTGGGATGAGGTGGTAATTTTAGAGGTACTGGGCAAGGCATTCTTAGAATATTAATACTCAACCAAGGTTTTACCATTAAACAACACTGGAAGATGCTAGATCAGGGCTGGTTGGCTGCTGTTTTTTGGTTTATTTTTCTACCCATAGTTCCTTTTATGAACTGGCAGAGAAAAACTTACAGACTTTCTGAATTCTAAAAGAAGTCCAAAAAAGGCTTATGTAATATTAAACAACCAGAACCCTTAAATATACACTGGTTTTTCTGACTACAGTTTCCCTCAAGTAACGTAATGTCTTTGACCTCCTCTCTCCAACTGAAGCTGGAGTTTCTACACACTTACAGAAAGAAAAACAATCCCGGCTTTCAAATCCAGCAACAGACATCTGTGAGCACTGAACTCAGAGAAGTCCAGAAAAAGACTAGAAATACTAACGCTAAATTGCAGTTTGTGCCAGAATGGACTAGGAGAGGGAGCAATGAACACAGACTAGGGGTTAAAATCGGGGCAAATGCTGCCTGGTGTGATGAAAAGATATCATTCTGGCCAGTGTTTACACAGGCGTGTATGTGGAAAAAGCCATCAAGTTCTATGTAAGACTCATATACTTTACTGCAAGTTATAACTGTTTTTTAAAAAGTAGTAAAATCCCATGTTAGATACTAGCTTATACAGCCTATACATGGGCATACTAAACAGCCTGAGGGATATACAGCAGCATGCCATAATCAGACCTCTTATGATATTTATAGGAAAAAGCATAAATATTCACACCCAAGTGGGAAAAAGACTATTCTTTAAAAAAAAAAAATGGTCTAATAAGACATCAGCTGCACTCAGAAACTCGGGATTTTTAGCTTTGAATTATGTAAATCATCTCTTCTCACCAGCACACAGTAAAACCTGGGATTTATGGAAAGAACCATAGTGTTGCCAGCCCCCTCAATTTCAAAATAAGATACCACTGCCTCAAACCTACAAAGTTCTTATTAGTAGTACCTATCTTCATTCTGCTGGCAGCACAGGTCCATCCTCAGCTCTCCGAGGAAGGCCAGAGTCGCCACAGCTCATACCTGTCCCTGGAAACCATGTTATAATGCCTAAGGAACAGTGCTTGTATTTGGCACGAGAATGAGGAGAAACACTTAGAATGAGCATCAAATTCATTCATATGGCAACTGGTCTACATCCTGAACCAACCAATAGGACAGCCTCGATAAAAATTCCCCCTATGATCAGCCTCAGAAGACTCAGCCAAGAAAGGACATCATCAAAACATCGAAAGAGCCCTAACCGGTTTGGCTCAGTGGATAGAGCGTTCGCCTGTGGACTGAAGAGTCCCAGGTTCGATTCCAATCAAAGGCATGTACCTTAGTTGCGGGCACATCCCCAGTAGGGGGTGTGCAGAAGGCAGCTGACAGATATTTCTAACTCTCTACCCCTCTCTCTGCCGCTCTGTAAAATCAATAAAATATATATTTTTAAAAACATCCAAAGAGAAGCCATGCACAATACTCAACCCCCAGCACTCCTGTTTTGCCGCCCATGAGGGTTAGCCAGCATCGTCACTCAGCACTAACCTCGGTTTGTCTTCCGGCAGCTCAGCGGTAACTGCCGACAGCAAGTTCAGTCTGGCATCCAGAGTTGTTGGGTTCCCTTGAAAGCCATCCAGAAGGAAGCCACCTACGGGCCGCTTGGCTGTCTCTCGTGCTGACCTCAGCCTCTCTTCCATCACATCTCCACCTTCAATCACTCCAATGATCGTACTTTTCTGAAGGACCTAAGGTAAAAAAGGATTGAACAATTTTAACCATTTCCAGGAGTGGAGACCTTCATCTAAAGGAACCTTACAAAGAAGCCCAATGGACAGACAAGATCTCAGTGGGGAGCATGCAGGGAATGGTGCTGCCTCTGCCCTGAGAACTTCTAAGGCTCTAAAGAGTGCAATTTGAAAGCCACACCCAAAATGGTACCTAATTGTTTCCAGTTCCACTTCCTCACAGTGTGAGGTTTAGTGAGCTCTCCCTATGTGTACAGGGCATTTACTTTTCTTTTTCGGAAGTTCATATTTACATATCTGTCTAGATTTCAGTAGGGCTGTCATTTCCTTAGAGGATTTTTGGAGTTTTTTCTGTGGTGTAGATGGAGTTTTTTCTGTGGTGAAAGCCACACCCAAGTATGAAGACTGTGTGGAGAAACTTAAGCAATCTACATATGCAGCCATGCTTTAGCTTAGGTTAAATTAAATGCCTGCTGAGCAGGTACAAGAGGAAAAAGATCCTAAAGGGATAGTTTCAATATGTTTAAATGACTATCCAGGCCTGCTTGAGGTGCCCACCAAGTCATTATTAATCAGAGTCAACTTTAGGAACTTCTAAACTATTTGGTTGGGACAATGGACTATACATTTGGAAAACAAAAATAAAAAACAAAAAAATCCTACTGCACACCATCATTAAAAATAAAGCTAAACATAAAAATATAGTTATACAAGTATTAGAAGAATATATTAAATATTTTCTTTAATCTCGGTCTGCCTGCCTAAGCAACCTCAAGCTTACAGTAAAAGGCTGACATATTTCAGTACAAAAGCATTAAAACTTCTCTATCAACAAGGGCAAAGGAAAACATATTCTTTGGAGGAATTAGGTAAACATCTACACCACAGAAAAACTCCAAAAATCCTCTAAGGAAATGACAACCCTACTGAAATCTAGACAGATATGTAAATATGAACTTCCGAAAAAGAAAAGTAAATGCCCTGTACACATAGGGAGAGCTCACTAAACCTCACACTGTGAGGAAATGGAACTGGAAACAATTAGGTACCATTTTTGTCCATCACATTGACAAAAAAGCTCAAAGATAACAACACAGTGAAAGGGAAAGTGAAAAATGTACTTATATACCCCAATAACTAGAAAGTAAAAATTAGTCCAGCCTCATGGGAGGGCATGTATGCAACATGTATCACAATGTCTGTGGTTTCATCTTTATATCCTAAAATTTCACTTCTACAAATTTCTACTACAAATATATTCATGAGGAAAGAGTTTCAAGATATTGTTAAAAGCAAGGAACAAGGACATTTCTGAACATATGATTGTATTCATATTATAAAAACCACACATATATGTAATGATTATGTTTATGTAACTGTAAATGTAAGCTTTGCAAGGAAATGCCCAAGTCAACACTGGCTCTCTGGTAGAACAGAGGGGTGGGAGGGAGCCTGGGAGGCTGTGAAGAGGGAATTTTGCTTCTTAGTTTAAACAGGAGGGGCCATCATCAGACTATTCCTCCGGAAAGAACACTTTGGATATTGTGTGGAGAGTGAATTAAGAGGGAGTATGGCTAAAGGATGGGGCAGGAGCCAATGATACTCCAGGTAAAAGTCCAAGGGGACCTGAACTAAGGGGGGTGAAGAGGTGTAGCTCTGAAATCTCATCAGGCGGTACAATCAACAACTGATTAGCTGTCCAAGAAGAGGATGAGGACAGTGTAGGATGACTCCTGCCCCCTTTTTGGAAGTTCCAGGAGATGCTGAGAAGAGCAGACTGATAATCCTAAAAAAAATCGAAGCTGAGACAAGATGAACATCCACATTTGTGTATTCTGAGTTTGAGGTATCAGTGGGACATATACATTTAGCCACTGCATAGGCTAAATGTAAGATACACAAATTTTAATGCCCAGGCTAGAACGGTGGACACTTGGCACTGGGTTGCCACTCCCAACTCCGGCTTCCACAGCAGACATGGCTAACAGACCACTCTCTTCCTGCTCATCCCGGGCATAGCTCCAAGCACCTTGGCATGAAACCTGTTCGCCATCTCTGGGCCTAGGGAATGTATGAAGAAAAGAAGTCCAACAACAGAATCTTGGGAAGCTTCAACACTTACGGGCACTCAGAATAAGAGGATGCAGTGAATGAGAGGGGAAGGAATCATTGGAAAAGGAAAAGCTGTATGCAGACATACAAAGCAGACAGTGACACAGGCTTGCTTCTTTACGTGACTGACACAGCCCTATCTGAGAAATTCCCTTTCATGGGTATAAAAAGCAGGGTAATCTATAATTATTGTCTAAAATGGAACACATTAAACAGTAAAAGAGGCACCATAAATAATCTTATCAAGACAAAGGCATAAACATAAGTATAGAGAGGAATCCCAGCATTTGACTGACATACGGAAATAGTATGACATGGTGAGGCTGACTATAATATAGAAGAAAGACTTGAGGCACATCTGGCCTGTCATACTCTGTCCTCTTTTCTCATCAAACATTACTCATTTTACAAGGATAATTACTGGCTCAAAACAACGGCTAGTGAGCAACACTAGCAATTCAGACTCATAGCAGTGTCCCAGGCTGAACTCCTATTATAGATACTGGGAGTTCTATTCGGAATGACAACTAAGTTTCCTCTAATTATTTTGTGTATACTAACTGTATTAGTCAAATTACATTTTTGTGGGTAAACTCAAAATGATAACGTTCCTCAAACTGAAGCACCTGCCATAGGGGGAACTGATCGGTGCTCAGGATGGCCACCTAAATCATCAGACCCTGACTGTCGCCTCTGGTCACTATCTCCTGAACTCCTGCCTCCTCTGCGTTCTCCTAGGGCAGTGATTGGCAAACCGCGGCTCGAGAGCCACATACAGCTCTTTGGCTCCTTAAGTGTGGTCTTCCACAAAATATCACGTGCAGGTGTGCGTGTACAGTGCGATTGAAACTTCGTGGCCCATGCGCAGAAGTCAGCTTTTGGCCTGGATGAGTCTACTTTGAAGAAGTGGCATTAGAACACTCAAGGGGCCAAAGAGCTGCATGTGTCTTGCGAGCCGCGGTTTGCTGACCACTGTCCTAGGGAGCTCATCCTTTCTCAACGTCCCTATCTCTGCTATCGGGAGTCCTTATTTGCTGCTTCAGCTTTTTCCCCAGCCATCACAACCTTGCACCATCAGGATTTACGGAGGGTGTCAGGAATTTTGCTTCATGATGAAGATACAAAAATAATACACAGAAATTGAGCTGAAGGAGGTCAAAGTTAATAAAGACAAACATGTAATAGTAAATCATTGCAGTACAATATGATTGGGCCTATAATATAGCTACATACAAATTAAAGGAGTGGCAAAGAGTGAAAAGAACTGGGTCAGGGCTAGTTTCTTGGAATGAAAACAATGGAATAAATGAGCTGGAGCTGGGAGCAAGAGAAATATGGCTGAGAATAAGAAAAAAGCAGCAGACCAGAAGGAAGTCTGCCTGCAGGTACAGCCGTGAGACAGGACAATGCCTCAGGGAACTGCAGGTGCCAGCCACAGCAGAAAGCAGGCCACAGGGAGCAGAGAGGGGTGGAGAAGCAGGCGAGGCCAGGCCTCTGCAGGCCGTTCACGCCATGTAAGAGTTGAAGTGGAGAACCTCAAGTTCTTTTAGGAAAGTGATAACCGGTTAATGTTTGTGCTTTACGAAGATCTCTCGAATGGCAGGGCTGAAGATGGATTGGGTGGAATGGAGAACAGAGGCAGAAAGAACAATTAAATGATAAGTGTTTACATAAGAAAATCAGAAGTTATGAGGCCTTAAGATGGTGATAAGAGTGATGAGGGGTCAGATTCTAGGTATATTTAGGGAGATGAATCAAAGGGGAGTGAATATTGGAGATTAAATTGGATATTGAAAGGAGTCTTGAAAAGACTCAACTTACTTGTCGGCTGCCAAAAACTGAAGCAGAGTATTGACGGAGAGCAAAAGGAAGAAGAGATTTGAAGAGAAAAGATATGAAGTTTCTTCTGTGAGTTTAAGATGTACATGAGAAATATTCTAGTGACAGAATCCAACTAAAGCCCTGTAGTTATGTGATCCTGAAACTAAGCAGTGTGATCTTGATTGTACTTAGTATTTTAAAACTATTTAGCAGTAAGAAAAAACTAAGGGGAGACTGCCTAATGATAACACATACAGGGGTATGTAAAAAGAACCTTCAGACAAAATCCTAGAGAGCAATTATAATTAATGGGTCAGGAAAAAAAGAACAGGAGAGCATATAAGAGACCAAGGAGCAGAGAAGTAGGAAGAACAGATGAGGTGGTATCACGCAATGTCAATTAGCAAGAGTTTCAAAGAAAGAGCAGTGAGATGCACAGCTTTACCTCTGACTCTTCCTGCAGCCGCAGACAATGATCCAGGAATAGCAGCGATCGGTCAACAGACTTCCTGGCTCTTTTTATGGAACTTGCTTCCGCACAAGATGCTTCTCCATCTGAGAGACACTGGAACCAGTCTGGCTGAAGGGCCTGCTGAATTGCCATAAACTTGGAAGCAGTCATTTCCACTCGTCCTCCAACACCCCACACAGACACAGACTGCCAATGAATAGACGATGGGGAATTAGCAAGAGTGAAATGCAAATAATAAAATGCTAAAGAAATTCTGAATTTAATTCTTTACAACTAGAGATGGTAGCAATTCAACATCCTAGCATGGTGAATAAAAGAGGGTTCCTATACTATACTCCAAGTTCACTAAGAACCTTGTTGCTCAGAGAGAATCCTTCAAGGACGATACAAACCAACGTCTGAGCTTGCCCCTAAGAATTCTGTTACACTTTCCTAAATGCCCAGTCTTCCAGTCTCCTCCACCCCACTTTACCCATGCAGATCCTGAATGCAGCACAGACTTTGATTCTTCTGTCTTTAATCACATCGTTCCTTCTGACTGAAGTACCCTTCCCCTACTCCTTTGCCTGGTACCCTTCAAGATAGAGTTCAAATGTCACCTACACTAATGTGTCCCCCAAACTTCCCTGGCATGATCAAGTGCCTCACCCATGTTATTCCAGAAATGTGTGCTTACTTCTTCTATAGAAATGATAGCTCTTAGCACACCACTGTATATTTGCCTAGAGTATCCCAATTCATGTTGTGCCTCAAAAGCAGTCTAGCGCCTTACACATCATTAAGCAATTACCAAGGTGAGTTACGTACAGAATTATGTGCTAAGACATAAATCCCATAGTACACGAGAACCTCTATATGTTCCTTTGGTTACTTCTTCTCCTACAGCACCTCTCTTCTCAGAAAAGACTGACAAGGACATAGATAGGGAAGCAACATGCATGCTTTATTTTGGCATATTTAAATGAATCCTCTCTCCCTCACAAATAGGGTAGATAACTGACATCAAAATATTTTCTTTTGAATATAAATTACAAAATAAAAAGAAGTGTAAAGCAGAAGAGTAATTTAAAATAGTAATCTTAGTAAAATTAATACATATGGTTGACTGACTACATAAGTTATTAATACATAAGTTTCACTGACTCAAGATGATAGTTTCTTAGGTCCTTTAGTCAAAGAAAGTCGTTTAAAAAAAAAAAATCCCAAAAAAGTTAAGCAAACCATATGTGCTTAAATTCCATATGCTACCCTGAATTTTCATAAGAAAAAAAAAAAATGGAATTTCGATAAAAAAGACCCAAAAAAAAACAAATCAAATTAAAAATAATCTCTGTAGTTCTTCACCTTTTTGCACAATCTCAATTGCTACAATTATCTGAAAAAAGCTTATATTAGCTATTTTCACTTAATTTTAGATTTGTGTACTTAAAAGCTGGTTATTAAAACTGGTCTCTTATAAAGAAAAACTATATTACATAAATTCCTCTACTGAAATACACTGAGTGGCCAGATTGGGTGCAGGGAAAGGGCTTACACTTATAAAGTAGTAGAATATACAGGGTGGACAAAGGAGGTTTGCAATTATTCATATGAAAAAATATATGAGTAAGTAATAATACAAGAATAAACTGTGTTTCACATACGTACAACTGTGAACCTCCTTTTGCCTACCCTGTACTGAAACCTTGTCACAACGATGTCCTCAAGGACAATGCAATGGGGCCATGTCTCAGGAGAAAACTTTTAATGAAGTCCTTTTCATATTCCTCTTCACTAGCTAAAAAGTGGACCAGCTTTTTCAAATTCTGTTCTAAAAACACGCAGTATTACACTGAGGTTCTACTATATATAGTTGGACATGTGATAACACTTATCAGCAACTTTCCCCACTCCTCCTGAAGTTGGAAAAACTGCAAATAAAGCATGGTATCAAAAGACTACTGTTTTCTACCATCATAGCAATTTCGTTTTTGGAATGTACTTAACCTTTTTCCAGCCCCAAGTTTTTGCAACAATGAGAAAGCTGAGGATACCTTAACCCCATCCTCAGTCAGATCTCCTTTAACTCCTGTATATCACTCATAAAAATAAAGAGAAGGCGGGAATAGGCCAACATCGCAGGCAGTTTAATCCTAGTATTTGAGGGACATAGGAGACTGATTTCCTGGGACAAAGTTGCAACCTTGGAGGAAAGTTGTATACCTTGTTTGTTATATAACCAGCTGGGCAGGGGCTGACTGGATCGTGCAGGGAGCAGTACAAGAGTGATTCTGGCATGCCTGTATAAACATAAATAAGAACCCTTGAAAGCACTTATATCAACAATTATACTGTGTTGTACCAGAATAGCTTTATGATATATACTGCTGGATAAAGCAACACTGAGCCCAATAAATGGCTCATATATGCACTTAGAACTGTAGGAGGCCTGACAACATGAATGAAAAATACTTTGAAACCTGCAATCTAAAAGAATTAACTGCAAAGGTTCATTTCTTGTTTTTTTTGTGTGTATTTTTTTTTTTTTTTTTTGTATTTTTTACAGAGAGGAAGGGAGAGAGATAGAGAGCTAGAAATGTCAATGAGAGAGAAACATCGACCAGCTGCTGCCTCTTGCACACCCCCAACCGGGGATGTGCCCACAACCAATGTACATGCCCTTGACAGGAATCAAAACCGGGACCTTTCAGTCCGAAGACCGATGCTTTACTGCTGAGCCAAACCGGTTTCGGCCCAAAGTTTCATTTCTAATGACACAGTGCATTGCTACAAAGGGAAGGTATATTATAAAGGATGAGATTCAATGAAAGTCTTTAATGACATGATGACCCAACTCGATTTGCTTTTAAGACAAATTTAGTATCAACTATGTTCAGTGTAGGTGCTATGCAAGGTGAACTAGCTCCGGGAAAGATGAAATAATCTAATCAAAAGATAATCTCATTAACAATAAAGCCATCCCACATCATGAGTCCCTAGAGGCAAAATTAAAAGCTGTAGGACAGAGCAAATGAATCACATTTTCAGTAAGTTTCACTGACTCAAAATGATAGTTTCTTAGGTTCTTTAATCAAGAAAAAGTTGTTTAAGAAAAAAAAAAAATCCAAAAAAGTTAAGCAAACCATATGTGCTTAAATTCCATATGCTACCCTGAATTTTCATAAGAAAAAAAAAAAATGGAATTTCAATGAAAAAAGACCCAAAAAACAAATTGGGGGGAAAAAAAATCTCTGCAGTTCTTCACCTTTTTCCACAACCTCAATTGCTACAATTATCTGTAGAAAGCTTATATTAGTTATTTTCACTTAATTTTAGACTTGTATACTTTAAAGCTGGCTATTAAAACTGGTCTCATATCAAGAGAAACTATATTACATAAATTCCACTACTGAAATACACTGAGTGGCCAAATTATTATGATCTCTGAATGCATAATAATCTGGCCACTCAGTGTATATCCTATATAATAAAAGGCTAATAAGCAAATTGTCCCCTCGACCAGGAGTTCGACCAGCGGACTGGCTGGCCAACCGCCCATGTCCCCTCCTCCAGGCCAAGCTGGCCAGACCCCACCCATGCACGAATTCATGCACTGGGCCTCTAATACACACACACACACACACACACACACACACACACACACACTGAGTGGCCAAATTATGCGTTCAGAGATCATAATAATCTGGCTACTCAGTGTATAGGGCCTTGAGACAAACAAGTCATCATGCAGTTTCTCTCACAAGCAGACAACTGAATAACCAATGGAAACAGGATTTTTATTCACTCAAGTGAGCCTTAGATATTGGAAAAAGCTTCAGGAGAAAATAGTCTACAGAAGAATTTATTCTCTAGCTACCCTGTTTCCCCGAAAATAAGACAGTGTCTTCTATTAATTTTTGCTCCCAAAGATGCACTAGGTTTTATTTTCAGGGGATATCTTATTTTTCCATGAAGAATACGGTACACATTTATTGTTAAATGAAAATAAAGGAAATTTATTACCTGTATATGGTACGGTAGTACGGTAGTTGCTAACACAAACCAGACAAAACTGTGAATCCTACAGTATTAAGAATTTACTTATTTATTCAATGACAATCATGTCATCATCTTCTGGAACATCATCATAACAATCCAATTCCTGAATTTCCTGGTGAATTTCTTGTGACTCCATTTCTTTTAGAATCAGTGGACCAAACCTCTCATGTTTAGCTAAGGGGGCCTTATTTTCAGGGGTATGCCTTATATTTCACTCAGAAGGAAACCTGTAAGTAGGTCTTATTTTCGGAGGATATCTTATTTCCGGGGAAACACGGTATCATTACTAAGTTTTTCCTAAAAATAAATGGACACATACATCGGCATTTAAAATCCTAGTTCTGGAACAAGAGAAAACACTAACATATCAGAATGTAGAAGTACATAAACTCTTTGTCCTCTGCCTTATGTTTTAGGTTGAAACATGACAAAACTACTTTGGATCTTAGGGAATTTCCATGCAGTGTCTCACTTCTAGGTCTTTGCTTTATGCCTGCAATATCTGCCCACACCTGTCTACTATCACCCCCTCCTGGCCTGGCTAACTCCTACTTTTCCTTGATCCAGCTAAGGTGCCCATCTTCTCTCTAAAAAATTATTTCTTTTTTTTTTTTTAAATATATCTTATTGATTTTTTTACAGAGAGGAAGGGAGATACAGAGTTAGAAACATCGATGAGAGAGAGTCATCGATCAGCCGCCTGCACACCCCCCACTGGGGATATGCCCGTAACCAAGGTACATGCCCTTGACCAGAATCGAACCCGGGACCCTTCAGTCCCCAAGCTGACGCTCTATCCATTGAGCCAAACTGGTCCCGGCTAAAAAATTATTTCTTTACTATGACCTCCTTCCACATGCACCCTACAGCAGGTTATGTGCTTCACCCTCTGGCTCTCATGATACATGTACATATCCCTATTCCTGCAAGTGTAGTCACCACTCTACTGGAATTACCTTGTTTATCTTTTCCCCAACTAGGTTCTGGGTTCCATGAGGGCAACAATTGTTCCCTATTCATCTTTGAATCCCCAATGTTTGGTTCTCAGATGCTCAATAAATGCTTACTAAATTAATGAACAAGCAAATATATGAATGATAGATCAAAGAATAAACAGCACCTCCAAACTCCAAATTAATACATCATAAGGCACACACAAATAACTTAATTAATTTTACCTATAAACTTTCCAATTCCTTCCTTATATTCTGTCAAGACTTCGTGATATTCTGCCCTGTAAGTAAAGCAGACAAATACGTAACATAATAATGAATCATTCCACAGATACTCTATACAACAACTAAAGTCCTCTTCTCACCCAAACCTGCTATGTGACAGTAAATGTAGTCTTGAATAACAAATACACCATTACTCAAGAATCCCAACTCACCAGGCTAGATGCATTAGCCAGAGTAAAGATTTTCAATCTGCAAATAGTTCTGTGAGAAGAGAAACTGGCAAATTTCAACTGCTCCAGAATATCTTGGTTTCTTCTTCCCCATCCCCTTCCAAAACAGTATGAAATTAATACAACTAGAGGCCCAGTGCACGAATTCCAGCAGAGGTGGGGTCTGGCCAGTCCGTCCCAATAGGGGCTGATGGGGGGCAGCAGGGGGGGAAGAGGAGTTGCTGCAGGCAGTTGGGGGGAGGAGGGACGGCCTCCCCGCCCCCTGTGGAACTCCCCTTGGAGGGGACAATTTTCATATTAGCCTTTTATTATATAGGATATTGCAGAGTCATTTCATCTAGAGCAGATTGATCAATTAAGGATAAGGTCAATATGCACAATACACAAAATGGCCTAACTCCATTAGCTCTGTTTCCATAAGTAGCACATGCAAGTACATGTGCAGAGTCAGAGAGATCTCTGAGGCTGGCGCATAAAGGCAGCGCCTACCTTGTCACCCCCAGGAGCAGTGGCAATGAGGAACCTTGAGTTCAGAGGAAAAGTGAAGCAGCTTTACCATGGAGGTCTGACCCATGCCTTCCAGATTAGGGCCAGATGAGGTATAACATTTGATATATTTCTTCTGATTTCATTCTTTAAAAATCTACAAATTTTACACATATAAGCAAGCAAGTCTTTTGCTTTGCTGTACCTTGTTAAGGTAACTAAGCTGCTGCCAGAGTTGAAATTTGGACTGGTTCGGTCCACTACTTACAGCGATGACAGTGTGAGCTGAGCCATGGCAGGAAGCCTGTGGATACTACGCAGCGTGTGATGGGTCAGGTGTGGGGCAGAGCCAGTCTTGGTGTATAGAAGGCAGCCTGGGATGTCCATAGTGTGGTCCCCCGTTTTGCCTAGGTTTTTTATTTTTCCTAGGCGACAGCCATTAACTACCTTGGTAAGACTCAGCTTCATCCTGAGGGATTCTCCAGGTCCTGATAAGAAAAGATCATTAAGTTCAGAAGTTTTATGACATCTAAAAGCAAAACATTTTGCAAAGATAACAACCTACAAAAAAATTAATTATAGCATATTTATAACTACTTCCTGTCTAGGATTTGTTTTTATATATCTAGGAACAAGGGAATGGGAAAAGTCCCAGAGCAATATGATGGCATCAACCCCATTTCAGTTACTGAATTTTTGTCTGACCTGATAAAATCCGAACAAATGGAAGGCTAATCATAGAAATAATGCTATGAAGCCAACGCTCACTCTCTAGCAACGTATAGAGAAAAGTCGCGCTGCTTAGGAAATACTGATTATTTTACATATGGGTAAACTGAGGCTAATAAAGTCACCATTTTGGAAGTGTCAAAGCCAGGACTTAAATCATAGAAGTCTGACTGTGGAGGTTGTACTCCTACAGGCTGGTAGTCCATTAGAAGTCCTCAGTCTTGTCCATGAACATGCGCAATGTTTATTTACGTTACTCCAATGCTGATATAATTTTAAACCCATATATTCCATTTTGCTCCATTTATTTGTCCCACTTATTTATACATTCATTGGTTGAGTCTTGTGTGTGCCCTGACCTGGACCGAACCCTCAACCTTGAGTATCAGGTTCACGCTCTAACCAACTTAACTACCCGCCTGAGCTACCCACCCAGGGCCTATGTAACACAATGTAATCAACCATAGCTATTCAGACGGGCACTGAAGACGGAGCGAGTCCTAAGATCACCGCAAAATTCTGATAGCACAGCTTCCCTGATCTCATTTTCACCAATCTCAAGTCTAGTTTAGTCTACGTTTCCTGGAAGAGTTCTACACATATACACTGACTTTTATTTTATTTTATTTTTATCGTTACCAGACTTCAATGATTTAAGTACTATAGCCCCCATTTTGCCGAGTGGTCCGAGAGTTATTAAGCAAATTGCTTGAGGTCCTACAGCCACAAAGTAGCTGGTCCAAAGCTCCCGCTCTAAACATCTGCCCTGCCTTAGGAACCCCTGTGCTCCAGAGTGGACTGTCCACGGAAACACCCATGCTAGGTCAGTAAGATCGGATAAATCGTCACTACAGGAGCTACCGCCAGCCCTCGCGGAGCGCTAGGCTCAGCGATGCGGGATCACCTCACCCTCCGCAGCATCCTGGGCAGCCCAGAGGGCGGGGGGGAGAGGGGGGCTTTCGGCTGACAACTTGACCCTTCAGCAGAAGCCAGTTGAAAGCAAGTCCCTTTTACTCAGAGATGCGGTGAGAGCGCACACGGTTTGGGAAAATCCGGACCCGGAAGCCATCAGGAGAGACCCAGGGAAAGAAAGGGGATTCGTGGTGGGGAGTAAGTTAGTGCAACACAACCAGGAAGTGCCTGGGCGCGGCGTGACTCATTCACCCGTAGTAGTCCCCACCCCAACTGGGAAGAGGGCGCACTCACCTGCAAACCTTCCAACTTTTTTTTTTTTTTTTTTTTGTCTTTTTTTGTCTGGGGACCCCTCAGACTTCTCGCAGCTCGCTCCCGCGTGTCCCGCTCGCAGAATCCACCGCCTCCGACGCAGAGCCAATCAGGGCGCATTGCGTCATCAGAGGGCGCCAGGAAAAGGCAAAAGTAATATCCCAGCGAACTCGAGCGGAAGCCAGGGCCTCGGCCAGCGGTCGTTGCCACGGGTAACCGAGCTAACGCACTCCGCCCGCGCAAAGCCTCCAGGGAGTGGTGGTTCTCCGGCGCCCCGTACCTGCCTTCCTTGCGGGCGGAGGAACTACATTTCCCAGGGAGCTGCGGTAGCGAAGTGGGCAGAGGAGCGGCTGTTTCAGCTTCGGCCAAGGTCCCGACCTGAATCTGGAAAATGCTGCTTGCGTCCCAGGGAGGGTCCTCCTCAAGGAAGAGGACGGGGCTGAGTCGCTGGAAACAATTAACGAGGAAGCTGAATCCCAAGGTGATCCATCCCAGTCGGGAGTTGCGGGGCGCGGGGACCGGCTCCCAGGCCAGCCGCGTCCCCGCGTGTGCTCCCTCCCTTTTCCACCCAAAGCATCCTTATCCGGCCCGCCCCTGCCTGTACCGCCCTGCAGCCAGCATGGCCCTGGTGAAGGGGCCCTAGGAGCCCTGGGGTCTGGGTTCCTCGCGGCTCTGGTGGGCAGCATCATGAAGAACTTTCCATCTAACAGCTTTTTACAAACCGCAGAGTCTGGTAGTGCTCGTCTGGTTGACGAGAATTCAGGAACTCTTTTGCCTCCTACTTACTACCACCCCACAATTTTAGAGAAATCCCCGCACGTTCATTTTTATTTTTATTTTTTTTATTTTGCAAATCAGGGAATTGATCTTTATTGGAAGGGGGAGATCTTCACGTTAAGTGCTCGGCCTGATATACAAAATACATAAAATGAATTCATAAATGCAAGTGGGTACTAACTATATAAATACTTGATTCTAAATTTCTAAATTCAGCAATCATTTTTAAAATAGACCCTCTTTGTATTTGTTTCCTCTTTTGGTGAATTGGCATCCCATGGAACACTAACCCCATTTTAAACTTGAAACATGTAAATGACATGTGCAAAGTCAGTCACAGGAGGTGTGCTTTCCACAGACTACCTTTTTAACGGTCACAAAAATAAATGCCTTAAATGGAGGTGAGAGTACCAAAATGGAGCTGGCTTCTCAGCTTTCAGCTCCAGAACAGTTTTCACCAGCTGTTTTCACCTTTAAGTTATACTTGCTTAAAAATCGAATCTTTAGACATGTGGCCTTTCTGAGGGCCCTAGGCATTGTGCTTACAGTTTATTCTAAAAATACCAGCTAAATAACACACTGGATATATTTCACTTGGTGAGTACCTTGCCCCAGATACTGGAGGGTGCAGATTGGGACATTAGAGAGTTGGAAACACAGTCTGCGACTATTGTAATGTACCAGTTCTATTGGATCCAAAATAGGTTATAGATATAGATTTGATGATGAAAAGTAAAAATTTGGGACAATTTCTTAGGATTACAAAGGAAGGATTTTTTTCTGCTAGTGCTCATTGTTACTGCCCAGAGGATGAAATGGTAAATCACATGAACTCCTCAAAATTCAGTTGCGTTTTAATAGAATCAGCGCTTTGTTGCAATAACAAAATTATTCAGCAGAACAGCTGCATTAATTTCTCTGTAAGGCACTTTGAAGGTGAACTGTTATGTAAGTGAAAGTATATCTTTTCCTCCTTCATATTTATATAGCCCCTTATTTATTTAAAAATCCACCTGGACTATTAGCAAAGCAAATACCTCTATTCATTAAGTGACTATTAGGGGGAATTCTCCAACTCTTGAATGTTACAGAGAGTGAAGAAAGGAGGTGTATGACTTGTCTGATTAATATGTAACTGACCTTGGTAGAAATTTATGTGATTTCTACTTCATTTTCTGCTCTGTAAAACAGTAGAAGATTGATTATTCCTCACTGCACCTCCCTCCCCCAGTTCTTACTGGACCAAACAATATCCCTACTGTACGTAAGATAAGAAGGCTTCATGCCCTTACCGATTTGGCTCAGTGTATAGAGCTTAGGCCTGTGGACTAAAGGGTCCTGGGTTCAACTCTAGTCGAGGCATGTACCTAGGTTACAGGCTCCTCCCCAGCCCAGGGCCCATGCAAGAGACAATCAATCGATGTGTTTTTCTCACATTAATCTCTCTGTCTTTCCATCTCTCTTCCTGTCTCTATAAAAATCAACAGAAAATTATCCTCCAGTGAGGATTAGGGGGGGAGGGGGGAAAGGAAGCCTCGTGCCACATGCTACTCCTGAAAAAGGGAGCCTAAGGAGAAGAGCAAACACTTCTCTAAGCAAAATTGGTTCTGTGACACTTCTATAAATCTGGTCATCTGTGTTTGGGTTTTTATAAGGAATGTAATACCTAGCATTCCTCTATCTTGGCTCTTAACCCAGGATAGCTTGAAAACACTTGTCCTTGGGCCCTACCCCAGACCAAGTAAGTCAGAATCTGGTGGGCCTCAGCAGGAAATAAAAAACATTCAGAAGATGTCCCAGAAAAGGCTCCATGTTTCTTCTTCCTATCATCCTTCTGGGTGTTTTTGTTGCTGAAGATTCTAATGAAACAATTTGGGGAAAGAATAAAGGACACTTTCGTGTATGTTAGTCAGAAGGATAGATTAAAATGGCAAAGTTGATAATGATATTGCTATGTATTAATATCCTGTATATATTCTCCACAGCCTGCTTTTGACCCTGACGATGTGGGACACTGGATTGAGGTAAGGATATTGCACAAATTAAGATAGAAAGTTGAGAGTCAGGTATAATCAGATGGAAAAGAAATACAAGTAGGTCTCCATTTTGCACATATGTTGTTTTTGTTCCCACGTGACTATAGATGTTTCCCCAGTTCTTTAGGCCAGGAGAGGAGAGGAGAAGCCTTAGGGGAGACCTCCCTCAGATCTTTGAAAAGACTACTGTAGTTACATTAACCTCCGAGACCCATGCACTAGGTAAAAGCTATGTGTGCATCACAAATAAGAATTTCCTAATGACTATAGCAATCCAAAAATGGAGTGGCATTTTTTGTAAGTGTTTTCTATCACAGGAGTTTTCAAGTGGATTCTAAATGGTCACTTAATGTTAACGACTAATGAAAAATATGTTTGATTCAGTGAGGGGATCGGGGGATTGGATTAGATAACTTCTGAGACGTGAAATGTACATATTTTTTTAATCCAACTACCATTTAAGTTGAAAATACTATTAAACCACTTAAGGTGAATGCCTCTGAGTATCAATTTGGCAACTTGCCATACTCAGTTCATTTGTGCACCATATGATTTAAAATCCTGTGGCTTTTCCTGGGAAAATATTCTTCTACTGAGAAGGCAGGGTGGGGTGAGGATGAGCTCCCGACTCCGCCCCACAGGGCGGAGTTATCCCTAGCCCTCACCCAACCAATCAGGGTTAGCCGAGGCAGTGACATCACC